ATTAATAGAATCAGCCCGTATGATAGGAAACACTGAAGCCAAATCTGGAGTCGAAGCAATGCTTTCAGAGACTGTTTTCTTCATTTTAAAACTGCCTTACAAGAGGAGGCAGAGCGTTCAGAAGTCCCTGTGCCCTTGACCGAGGTCTGCCTCGAGCCCGTTCGCCTTTCTTGCCTGTGTTCCCTCAAAGCATGCCTTCTAGAATTTCCTTCTCCTCCCCACCCGGAGCTCAGTCCAGCATCATATTCTGCATTGGTTCCTGCTCCTCTTTAGCCCTTTTTAATCTACAACTTTTTCCTGTGTCTTTCTTAACATGGATATTTTGAAAGACCTTTCTCTATCCCTTCCTTCCTCCCTCCCTCCCTCCCATTTTAGCAAAAAAAAAAAATTGTTCATCTGCGTCTCTCTGATAATTCGGCAGGACTCGGTCCCAAGTCTGGATTCTCAGATGAAACACTACAAGGGTGACACCCATTCTTCTTAGGGAATCCGGTCTGGAGGCCTGTGAAGTCCATTTGCCCCACACTGGCTCTTCGCATGTAGCCCAGGTTGGCCTGGAACTCCCGATCTTCCTGCTTCAGTTTCCCGAGTGCTATGGTTACAGGCATGCACCATCATGCCCCGTTTATGAGCTGCTAGGGGGTAGAACCCAGCCACATCCATAGCCCAGAGATTCTACCTTTAAAAAATGAAAGTATGGGTAAAGTGCTTGCTGTACAAGCATGAAGACCCCAAATCAGATTCCCAGCAGCCATGTTAAAAGCCAGGTGTGGCAGAGCCACCCATAATCCCAGTTCTGGGAGACAGACAGGAGCTCCTGGGGATTCACTGGCCAATCAGCGTAGTCAATAGGTGAGCTCCACTTTTGATGTGAGACCCTGTCTCAAAAAATAGAGTGGAGAGAGACTGAAGAAGACACCCAACGTTGACCTCTGGGGTCCATGTGCATATACCACACACACCAAAAAACAAAACAAAACAAAAAATGAAAATCTAATCACATTGGACAAAGAGTTCAGAAATACAACTTTTATAGCAGCATTTCAATTTTTAAATATAAACAAATTAAAAAGATTTTTTTTGATGTTTAGGGTTTCTTTTCTAAAGAGATAGAAAAACCAAGCTACATATTGAAAATGATTGGCAAAAGCCAGGTGTGGTGGCAAACACATGATCTCAGCATCTGGGAGGTAGATGTAGGAGAACCAAGAATTCAAGGCCAGCTTGGACTATGTGAAAACTTGGAGGTTGCGGGGGGGGGGGCCAAGTTAGGGAGAGGAAGAAAGAAGGCAAAGGAGGGCAGGAGGGAGGAAAAATAAGAATCAATGCTTGACAATTTATGCAAGATAGGAGAATGTCTAAATTCTGATCTGAAATCTTTTTAATCTACAAAATAATTTTTGAGATAGGATCTCACTATGTGGCCCTGGTTGGACTGGAACTCACTATGTAGACCAGGCTGGCCTCAGACTCACAGAGATTCTCCTGCCTCTGCCTCCCAAGTACTGAGATAAAAGGTGTGCACCACCAGGCCAGCTGGAATTTTCTAATTTTAAAAACCAATATATAATCACTGTATTTTGGGGGTACAATGTGACACTTCCATACCTGAGTGCCTTGTGTAATGATCAGATGAGAGTAATTGTCATGTCTATTGCCGCAAACATTTTTCACATCTTTGTGTTGGGAGCATTCCAAATTCTATCTGCTAACTGCTTTTCTTTTTTTTTAAATTTTATTATTTTTATTTTTTTATGTGTATGCATGTATTGCCTGCATGTAGGTAAGTGCACCCGTGTTACACAAAGCCCACGGAGGTCAGAAGAGGCTGTTGGATCCCCTGGGACTGGAGTTACGGAAAGTTGTTAGCTGCCATGTGGGTCCTGGGATTCGAACCTGGGTCTTCTGCAAGAGCAGTGTTCTTAACTGCTGAGCCATCTCTCCAGCCCCTGCTAACAAGCACAGTGAGGTGCTGTCAATCAGGTTGTCCTAACGTGCTGCAGGACCCCCCCAAAGCTACCCCTCCCATTCAACTGCACCCTGAACTCACCAGCCATCTCTCTCTACCGCACCCTGTAACACCTTTCCCAGCTTTGGGGACCCACTCTTCCTAGCTCTACATACAAGAGATCAAGTTTTTAGCTTCTACCCTTTGAAAATATGACCTTGAAAATACCTGCAGTGCAGACACATTCTGCCATGAAAAGAAGAGACGGCTTTCTAGTTTCTAGAAAGAGACATTGAATAAGGTCTTGGTGGCTTTCTGCCCCCCTGCAAGTCAGTACTGTGAGGGTTGTAAACAAGCAAAAGGAACAACAGGGAATGACAGCACCCCAATGTTTTCAGCAGTGTATGTTAGATGAAATAAACCAGGATCTTGAGTGGTCATAGGTATTGGGTGATTTGAATGGCCCTTAATTTTTCTTGAAAGTCACACCTACCCATGTATATAATGTAATCTATATATGTGCATGTATATGGTCCTAGGCGTGGGACCCATTCTACCACTGAGCTATAGTCCCAGCCCAAATCTTCTTTAAAGGCCTATGTCCATAGGATTTTTCTGTGTATATGCAAGTGTGTGCATGTGTGTGAATGCATGTGTGTGTGTGCATGTGTAGGCCAGAGCAGCTTTATGTCATTCCTCAAGTACTGTCCACCTTGTTTTTTGAGCCAGGATCTCTCACTGGCCTGGAACTCACCAAGTGGGCTAGGTTGACTGGTCAGAGAGCCCCAGGAATCTGCCAGTCTTCACCTCCCCAGTACTGGGATTGCGAGCAAGCGCCACCATACCCAGCCTTTTTAAATATGGGCTTTGGGGCTTGAACTCAGGTCTTCGTGTTTGCAGGACAAGCACTTTACTGATTGAGCTATCGACCCAGTTTTCCCATAGGAGTCATGCACTCTGTGAAAGACTTAGAATATGTTTAGTTATTTGTGTATAATAAGTAGTTACTCCTGAGATTGCCTGTGCAAACTTCAGTAGCTACCACTGGAGCACCAGTGGCTGGAGGGGCACAGTGGGTATGGTGTCCTTGTGGGCAGGGGAGATATGTTTGAAAGAAAGAGCCGCACCCCTGACAAGTGGTGCAACCTCTGTGGAAAATGCCACAGAGAAGTACATACACTGGGGAGTTCAACTGGGAGAGGAGACAGATAAACGGATTCTAGTAGAAATAGATAACATTGCTCCCCACATCACAACATAGGAGCAAGTGTCTGACACAGGCCTTTGAAAACCTGCCTCTTTCTTCCCCATGTTTTTAGCCTGCCAGAAGAAGAGCATCTCTGGTGAGTGGGAACCTGTCTTAAAATGACTGTCCACACCCCTAGAGTAGATAGTAGCCCATATGACTGAGTTTGACTATTTGCAGGTGGGTTCAGATAAGGTGGGGAAGTGGATAGAAAAAGGAGTTGGCTGGAGACCATTGGTGGCACAGGGGGTTGGAGGTCCTTGAACTGACTTTCACACAATCTCCAAATCCACACTCTATCTGTAACATGAATATGTTGTGGTAAAGTTACAGCAGAGGTGAAGTGTTAACTCACCGAAAAAGTTCCATGTTGACTAGTTTATTACAAGTCTTTCAGCTGCAATCTGCCTTGTATAATTGGAAATTCCATGAGAGCTGGGCTTCAGGCCCGGTTTGATTCAGCATTTTCATGACAGCATCAGGTCCCCCCACTTGATTTCTAGGTGATACAGGCCTCATTCTCAGCCTGGTTTCCCTCACGGTTTAGGTAGTGGCCACAGGGGTGCCAGGCCTCACATGCCTATTATTATCATTGTTGGCTGTTTCTATGGAAGAGACTGGAAATCTCCTTCCTTGATTCTGAGACTGTATCCTTGATTCTCTTTTTTTACAAAACATTTTTATTTTTTAAATTTTATTTTTTATTTTTATTTTATGTGTATGAGTGCATTGCCTGCATGTATGTAAGTGCACCTGTGTCATGCAGTGCCTGCGGAGGAGAGAAGAGGCCATCAGATCCCCTGGAACTGGAGTTATAGACAGTTGTTAGCTGCCGTGTGGGTGCTGGGATTCGAACCTGGGTCTTCTGCAAGAACAGCCAGTGTTCTTAACCGCTGAGCTATCTCTCCAATCCCACAAAACATTTTTAAAGAAAAAAATATATATGTATGAGTGTGTGTGTGTATGTGTGTGTGTGTGTGTGTGTAAGTACATGTGCCTGCAAAGGCCAAAGGAGGATGTCAGATCTCCTGAAGCTGGAGTTACAAGTATTTGTGAGCTGCCTGTTGTGGGTGCTGAGAACCAAAGTTGGGTTCTCTGCAAGAGCAATAGATGCTCTTAACCACTGAGCCATCTCTCCAGCCCATGGAACTTTGTTTCTCATTTACCCATCTGAGCCATTTGCTCATGGGAAAGTCACCTGCTGGAACTGAACCCAGAGCAAGGGCAGAGGAGTGAAGTTGCTCCCCACAAACATATGGCCGGGACATTGTCAGGACAGGGAACCAGACAGGGGCTGGATGAGTGGGCATACGCATTAGCCCATTTTTGGTTGGGTGGATGTTCAAGACAGCTATTCAGTGATGAGAGAAAACCGTGTATGCATTTCAAGCAGTAGAATAGGCTCCTGAGGGGGTTCCAGGAACCATGAAGACCCCCTGCCAAAGGATCTTGTTTGAGGATGTTCTATGCAGCGAGGCTCATGAACTGAGAGAATTTCATGTGTAGCACAGCTCACCAAGGGTCCTGCCTTTGTCTCAAGTTGGGCATCTGGGATTAATCAAAGATCAGCAGTGGCTGTAACATAATCTGGTAGGAGGTCTGGTTTCCAGTTCCTATCGCTCTAAAGGACCTGTGTGTCCCCAGGTGGGCACAGGTGCAGTCCCCGCCTCCCTCTGTGAATTATTGACTAAGCTCCACCTGGCCAGCTAGAATCGCCACGGACCTTGGATGCTGAGTGTCGTGTGTCACAGGATTGCCAGCCACTGGGAAGAGAGTTCTGCACGGCTCAAGTGGATAGTGCAAACAACCCCTCTCCCTCCAGGCACCATGGGATCCAAGGTAACGGGCTTGACGGTGGTCTTTCAGGGGACTGCTCTTCTACGACATCTAAGTGACAGTGGGCATGGAGAAAGAACTAGGTTCATGGATGAGATTCTGAACTTGGTGAAAATTTGGTTTAAGGTGGTCAAATAGATGTCTCTTGGGTGGGCTGGGGAAGTGTGACCATTTAGCACCAAAGGGTAGGGAGTTTCTCCTTCATTTTAAACTGGTCCAGAAGAGCGAGTATGTTATCCAGAGTAGCTTTCTGTGATGATAGAGTAGTCACATCATGCTGTCCAATGCCGTGACCATGGGCCACAGCTGACTACAGAGGACATGAAATGTGGCTAACATGTCTGGGGAACGGACGTGCTATTTCACTTTGCTTTCATTAATGACTGGCATAGGTAGCTGGTGGTTATTAACATGCGTGGAGTTTCAGAGACAGTGGTCCAGTGTCAAAGACAGTCACAGGGAATCACTGCTTTTATGTAAGAACCTTAGTAAATTTTATTACCCCACACATGCCATTTACTTTTAAATGCAGTAACCCTGAACTGTCCCAGTCAGCAGTCAGCTGAAGGACATAAAAAAAAAAAAACCCAATAAAAGGCAGAGATTCAAGGTCAAACTTATTGCCTTTTTCTAAGAGTTAATTATAGACATTCTTAAAAGGGCCATTTTTCTGCCCCTACCCAAGAACCATCTCCTGGTTGTCTGTTTACAAAACATGATTTGTTGATGGACTGTCTCTCCCTAGTAGGCTAAAGAGGGTCACAGAAACATTAGCATATGCAGTCAGAATAATTTAGTAGCCATCCCCAGGAGCCTCCCTCACCCAGAGGAACTCTAGCTGTCATCGATCCATTCAGCCAATATCCATTTCTATAGCACGGAATACTGTTGCCTTGGCAAATAGTACTCACCATAGTACCTGCCTTGACTGAAATGTATCTGAACACCAGGTACGGGGTGGACCTGGTTTCAGTGCCCTTGCTACATCCCATCGCAAAGTGATAACTCTGTAAAAGTGAAATGTCTATGGGAGAAGATCACTTGGTTCATGGTAGAGAGAATTCACTGTCCATCCTTACAGAGGAAGGGCAAGGGGCAGGCATGTAGTTACACATGGTCACTGGTGGAATTTCTTAATATCGTGGCAGTATGAAATTCATCTTTTATCCTTATGTGTGTGTATGATATGCATGGGTGTGTGCACATTCCTGTGCATGAAGCATGGGCACATGGATGCCACAGAGCACAGTTGTGGAGGGCAGAGGACAGCCTCTGGTGTCAATCTTCACCTTCCACCTTGTTTGAGGCAGGGTGGTTGCCACTGTGTACACTAGGCCAGCTAGCCTGTGAGCTCCCCACTGTCTTCTGTCTCTGTCCCTCATCTTGCCTGTAGGAACACAAGGATTACAGACACATGCACCCACACCTGGCTTAATGCAGGTTCCGGGGATTGAACAGAGGTCCCCATGCTTGCATAGATGGCTTTACTCACGGAGCCATCTCCCCACCCTCAAATTCATCTCACAAGCACACAGACTTGTCTGTCTGCTGTTGCACTGTTTTTAAATAAAGGAGGCTCTCTTCCCACTTTCTCAGATTCCCTCTGACAAAGCTAAGGACAAATCGGCATATTGATTATTTCCTGCTGAAATCCTTTGAGGAACTGTGGATTCGGAAGGGGCTGCTTGCTCTGCCTTTCCCTAACACAGCAAGCCAGGTCAAGTCTTTTAGGGGAACCATCCTTCACTTAACATGACTAGAAAAGAGCCTTGATCAACGGAAATCGGTATTCAGGGCTGTAGTGGACCTGAATAAACATGGTCTAGAGTAATTCCTGTTTTCCTTAAGCTTCTGTGCTGCCGGCACATGTATCTCTTAGTTACATACCTAGAATTTCTTCACTGGTTCAGAAACCCACATGTCTGCCGTCCTCTCACAGATTAGGCATTCTTTGTCTAAAAAGTATAGAAGCATATTTTTAAACATTATTTAATAAGCACATACTTAGAAGAAGCATTTCATTACAACAGCATTGACATATTCAATAAAAATTTCCAGAGCTAAGATGCATCTCATTCAAAATTGGCTGTAAATTTTTAGGTTTACAGTTGAATTAATACAGTTATACAGTATTGTAATGTTGAT